GGCCCAAATTGCCTGCACTCTCAATCAAGTCAGCAAAAGCTCTCCGCTTGAGACAAAATCGGTTCTTGAGGCCATGCATCTAGCCCATAAGTACTTTGGGATTTGCCTCCACCAATGCCTGAAATTTCCAGATGACTGAAAGCACTGCACATCCCACATCACTGTTTTCCGACTGGTGGGAGCAATTCTTCACTCTGGAGATGCCAGCCCAAAGCCCCAATGAGGCCGGTCCAGGACCTCCCTCCACTGTGAAAAACATCTTCACCAAAAAAGGCTCCGGGTTTCACATGTTGAACCTCGATGGCCATGTTTTGGATCGGCCATCGACCACATCGATCTCGACCCGAACACGCTCAGCCGGTCCCTCCAGCTCCTCAGGGATGTCGAACTGAACCTCTTCCAGTTCCTCGCTGCCGGTGAGAGGCTTTTCGAGGTCCGTCTCTGTCCTCGGCGAAACGCGCGTGGTGGCCGCGGTCGTGTGGGGCAGTTCCGCGCGTGGCGGGCTTTGTTGGGTCAAGTGGGATGGACATGGCGCCATTGAAAGACTTCAAGTCGAACAAGTCACGGAGAACCCCAAAATGCCGTCGCAGTGAACAAAATGAACTACTTGGTCCACGGATGTCCACGGTGCCAAGCACGGCCGTGTTAATCCTTTAAATGACTTTTAATCTTTAGCCTGACTGGGTTTCGTAGGAAAACCTTTGACCATCTTTGACCCTATGGCCGCTTAGCCAAGACAAAACAAAAGAAACCAGCAACAAGAAACCTGCGACACTGCAGACAGTCTTGTGTTCAAGTCGATTCATCATACCGAGTTTACGCGATCTGATGCGATCTGTACGACAACCTGCCGTGATCTACTTTTTCCGGAATCGAGCTTTTCACGAAGCGTTGCTTCATCCACAAGCAGTGTTTCAGTGTCGGGAATCCAGAATCAAGTGCGCGAGAACCGTCGTTTCATCTTCAGACTGGTGATGCACATTGTCTCCCCCCACACACCCCATACCCCGAGAAAGTGTGTGACCATGAAGGAGTGTGACCCCTGCATCGAACATGCAGGCGTCTTCCAGCACGTCAAAATAAGCACAAACAGCTGCTCTCCCTGGTGGTCTCTTCAGGACACGGCATGTCAACCACTGTAAGGACACCGCACGACGTGGTCCGAAATGCTCCGAAAAGCACCATCCCGGACCGTCTCCGCAGCAGTGAAACACCGAAAATGGGGGACTCTCATCGGGGAGGGTGCCGGTTCTTCGGATTGCAAACATCATATATAGTCCTCTTGAAACCACCTGGGACTGAGTCACAACTCTTCACTTCAGCTGGACCTTCTAATCAAGTGGCAACCCACCTGCGATTGAGTTGCATCTATAATCCACCATGGTTGTGTCTGTAACCCATCTGTGGCCCACATCAAATTCTAGCATGAACCCGGAAGCGTTTACCGAAGCTGCTGGACGCGAAAACGTCTACCGATTGGCAGATCCAGGCAAAGACTCGCTTCCGACGTGAAGATAGGTCGGACCAACTCACAGTTAGATTATATTCATGAGTTTCAATCCCTTCATGACATGTTCATTCATCTGCTTTGTTCTGCTTCGTTCTGCAAAATAATTTTGGGGCTCCAACTGCTGGTCCAACAGTAGCAAAGCTTTCAGTTGAATGCAAGGACTATAGTTGACAATTGGCAGCTTTCTGGATGCCAAGGCCTAGAACCTGGATGGGCACAAATGAGCTCCTCAAAAAGAGGTGCTACTTGTAGGCGCTTTAGACGTTCTTGTAGCCCAAATAATTGCCGATAAGTTCAGCACTTTCTGGTTCTAGCCGAGTCTTGGCAACCAAATGCCTGGTCCCCGTAAACCGCTAGAATCAGAACCCTCATAGCCTTTGCTGCAGCCGGGACACGCTTCTGCAGACTGCACATCTCGTTCATCTCGGGGCGGTACCATCATGTTCCTGGATACAAGCAATACAAGAATGCAAGTACTTCCTTTGTTTGGATGGCGTCTTTTGACCACTCCAATCGGTCCTGGACCAGAAGATCACATATAGAACTACGGTTCGTTGTTTGATCCCATGACTCATGAGCAGTGGCAGAAGATGTGGGGAACTTGGCTGACTCCGTATGTGAGGATTCTTCCTCTGCCAAGGATGATCCACCAAATCCACCAAACATACAGAGGTATTTGTACACACCTGGGTGCTGGTGCATTGTTTCAAATCCACACAATTGACAAATGGATATGTTCCTTTGTCCTTTCACCTAATCCATCAAACCCAACCTGTGTCTTGAGAAACTAATTGCCATGGAATCATTTGTGTCCTGAAACACATAGCTTTGGACAACAGCCATGGTGCTCTGGCTGCAAGCACCAAATAACACTTGGAGTGAATAATACTTCCGTTTTGACATGTCTTGACTCTCTGCCCTGAAACCACGCCAAGTTTCAGCCACCTCCGCATGTATATCACAGCAGAACAACAAACGGATCGGGATCAAAACGTTCGCTCCAAAAGAAACAAACACACAAACACACAAATTGAATGATGTTATATATATATATTAATATGCTATTATAAAATATCATTCCGTGTCGTCATATGCTACTCACATATGCCGAGTTCACGCTTCCAATCCGTTCCCAAGCGCACTCAATTCCGGACCACCTGCCCCGGGTGCGACCAGATCGTTTGGCACCTTGAGTCATAGCGTGGATCCTTCGACATGATGACCTCAGCACACACATGACAGTGTTTCACCCAAACTTGGCTTAAAAAAAAGGGCGTGGAAGTAGAAAGAGAGTTGCAGTGACCTGGAGGATGCACTACAGTTTGCTGAAACCACTGACCCAGTAGCACAAGTACCAATGTGATTCATGGACATTCATAGTACCTTCTTCGTGCATCTTTTCTTTGCTTGTGAGGCACTGCCCAGCCCTGGATCCCACCGAGAAATGTTGGACCGCTGGGACATGTGACACTGAAAGGACATGGGAACCTGAAAGTACATTGCCCTGATCCGGACCCGAACAAACACGTGAAGGGGTGGTTAATCGACACCCCTTGACCTCTATGGACTCATTAATAATGCACTAAAGGTTGAACACTGGATTTTATTGTATAAAGTCCTTCCGGACTGAGGTGATGTCCTTATCTTTTGTATGCTAAGGTTGGCTGCAATTTATTGAAAGCAAGATTCCTGCTTTTTGGAATTCCGGACCAACATTGTCCTAAAATCCATGGCCTAAGGTTGATTCACATGTTCAAACATCATCATGGTTCATAATAAAAATAGATCCTTGTTAATTTTTCCTTCGCAAGCTCATCCGTCTCCTGACGTTGTCTCGTGAATCCCCACCCAAAATCTGTGAAGAGTTGCAAGATGTGGATCCAAAATCATGAAGAAGAACGTGACGGACACTGTCAAAGAACCCCAATGAGGCCCCAATGAACCCTTGCACTGACGGCTTCTGCTTGCCAACAACCCAATTTATTGCTCAACATGCATGCTGAATTTCTGATTGTCCATTGGATGGAAAGGAGGGACATCTAAGTCCTTAGCTTGACCCTCAAGGACCTCCAAGTTGAAGGCAAGCATGCACGTATAGAATCCTGTGTCTAACCTATCATCTGATCCTTCAATTCAATAGTGCCATGACTTAACACGCTTTTCTGAATGTCTGGACCAAGGATCACCTTGGACTTCCTGATACATTTTTGACTCTTTCTGAAGTCCTGGACGAACGTGATTTACTTAAAAACACATTTATTCATAGATCGTATTTAGTGTGGATGGTGGCCGAGGTGTTTCAAACAAATACAACATTATCAAACATTATCAAACGGGTATAGTGACAAACATATTATACTTAGAACAGAACTTGACAAAAAGTAAAACGCCAGAATCAGCCGAGTGCAGCAGGACAGGGTGTTCTAAGTGTATACTTAGAACCAGGGGTATCGAACATACTTAGAACATAGGCGGACAGATTATGTTTGAGAGAAAAGATTATGTTTGATTGTGCGCGTGCGATGTTCTAAGTGTGGGTTGGGGTGTTCTAAGTGTTCTAAGTGAAAACACTGGTGTTCTAAGTTGCACGTTCTAAGTGTGTGAAAACGGTAAATAAGAGGGGTTTTCTAAGGTTTTGAACTTTGAAAAACATCGAATGTTCTAAGTGTCCGTCCGTCACTATATATATATATATATTAATATATATGTATAATATGGAGCTTGTTAGTAGACACTGGACACTCCTTGGGGGTCCTGGTACTCGTTCTCGTGTGACCCTCGTTGCGTCGCCTCCTTCACTGGCGCTGGACCCGCCAAGCTGCCCCAGGCGTTTGCAAGGCGACACCGTTATGTCGAGGCTGTGCGTGCTTTTGTGGTGCAAAGCAGAAAAGACTGGGAAGATTGCTGGCAAGTGGTCCACCTCTACCAAAAACTTATGCACTTGTTGCATCTTGTTGCTCTGTTGCCTTGCAAGACTTTTATTTCGCAAAGAGCCCAAATATCTCAGAGTCCCTGGCACTTTTCAAAGACATCTGGAAAATGTCTCCAGATGTCTACAGTAATCAGTGCTTTTCGAAGCTTTTGTCACCCTGGTTGGGGTATTATAGGTCCATGAGTCATAAACCACTTACACACTGCGAACCGGCCGAACACTGCCTCACGCCTGAAGACCAGGGTACTTGGCTCCTTTGCCAGCGAAACTCAATTCTGAGCTTTGGGATGCCATATGATCCATATGATGCCATATCATACCAGGAACCCCGGCTGGTTCTTTGAAGTTTCTCACCGGTGACCGGTCGACGACCCCCCAAAAGCCTGACAGCCCTAAATGCCGGCCCTCCGCAAAACAGGCCTAAATGCCAGCCCTCCCTCCCCCAACAAAAATAGAATAAGCGCCGCACCTGTCCTAAATCGCCCCGTCCTAAGCGCCTCATTCTTCCTCGTCCAACGCGTCGACCGTCCAACCGATCGCCGTGGGTTCCCACGGCGCCTCGTCCAAGGCTTCGCGGCCTCGGACGCGCGACGCGATCGTTCACCTACGGCTCCGTCGGTCTCCGTGGATGAACAGGTCGGTGACGGAGAGGAACAATGAACTGGTCATGGCAGTCGGTTTTCGTGCGTAACGAACATCGTTCTTCAGGTTGAACAGTGCTTAGTGCCTCTGACCGGGCTCATCCGGGCTCTGTTTCAGTTGGATGGAAGCCATCGGTGGCCACCTGGCCTCAGTTTGGACATCTCTGAGCTACCCTCGCTTCGCTGGGCCAGGGTGCTCAGAGTCCTCAGTGTGGCGCCCGCTCGACTGGATCGTCGTGCCTGGAATTATCCTTCTCTTCGCCCCAGCGGTATATTAGGGCATGAACAGAATCTGTGGAACTGCTGTTAGACACCGCAGTCTTATAGGATCTTATAGGTCTGCAAGCTTCTGCTGTTAGACCGCAAGCTTTCGTGATAGGTTGGTATAGGTCTGCCCAACCTATCACGAAAGCTAGCCATGAGCTCATGCCAAATCCCCAAGCTTCAGCAGTCTATGCACTACCACTGTAAGGCCTTGGGCCGAGTGCTCACTGAAAAAACAACAACACATAAAAGCAAACGCCCCACCATGATCGGGAGAGGTCCTCCATTTTTTCTAAGCCGTAATTATGACATTAGGACCATTCTGTGATCCCTTGCTCATTCTATGTTGGCCATCAGGGGCCTATCAAAGCCCGAATCCAACTTTCGGTGCATAGAAGCAGCTTTCTCGCCTCGTTAGGAGTGCTGGGAGAAAATAATTGGTTGCAAGGTATCGCATCGGCATAGACTTGGCTGACAAGCAAAGTAGTTGATCACCAGTACAGTACTTCTGGGGACAGGCCATTTGCATTGCAATGGATTCCGGTAGACTTTCAGATATTTCTGTGGTGGGTTGACATAGACCATCCCACCGGGAGAAAGTCCTCGAATCAGATTGATTTCATGGTTCTTAATTCTGTTGGATTTCAATGTCTCAAACATGCGCTCAAACAATGCTCGGTGGAGATTCTCAACACTTAGATTTAGATGCTCTCTCCTTCATCATCCAGGGAAAGCTGAGCAACACTTAAACAAAAAAATGCCAAGGCCTGGAAGGCATTTGCCTGAACATTATTTGCTAAAAGCAGTGGCTGCAGGCTGATGCTGCCCTCACCAAAGTGGAAAAAGATATTTACATAATATTTGTTTACAAACTGCTCAAGGATAGCTCTTGCAAAGTAACATGGAACCTGAGAATTCACCTGTGGTTTCGAGCATTTTCCCATATTTTTCCAATACCAACCAACAGTGGGTTTTCGGTTCCAGCATGTTCCATGGAACATCTTGGATGTCTTTCATGGCTCGCTGAAAGCAACTGACCAATGCCCCGGTGCAATGCAAGTCACGGCGTGCTGACACCAATCGCCCGGTGCAACCTCGGGCGACGCCGTCCGGGTGCGAGTTGTCGAGGTCTGGTGGATGGTCCTCTCATGCTGTACTTCATGCCGTACATTAAAAAAATCCTCAAACATCATCAAACATCCTCATCTCTTTCACCAATGCTATTCAATCCCATTGGATCCCATTGGATCCATCATGAATATACATCATTCATCCCGATGTCGTCTCATCCATCCCTTCCATGCCTCCCGCCACTCCCTTCTCCCGCTCACTCCAATTGAGTCCCCCCGCTCCCCAGCTGCCGCCAGCAGCTCCACGGCCTCCGCGCCGCGCAGCTCCACGCTGCGGCCGTCGCCCAGGGCGTCACGCAGTTTCGCCAGGAGCGGCGCGCAGGCGGCACGGCGCTTGGGCGCCAGGGCACCGTGGCAGAGCGAGGCCAAGGCCCTGCCGGGGGAGGAAAAACGGTGCGGAATGAGATGGTTGCAGAATTGAAAACAATTGTTTTGATGATCTTAGAGCTTGAGAAGTTTAAAACCTGATTTATAGTGACTGTGTTTCTTTAAAGGTCGGATCTGGGCCCCAGGGCGTTGGGGGGAATGAATTGGCTCATGGATCCTTCATGGATTGATCCTTCTAATCTCAAGTCTCCAGATCGACACATCGAGATCAACCCAGCCAACCTGGGAGGAGGCGGCTTTTGAGGCTCCAATGCTTCCGTCATGCTGGCCACCAAGCGACAAAGTGCTGTGCCTTTGGTGCCGTGTAGCAGGTGGTAATCCTCGCGCGGTCGTTCGGCGCCCGAGATGGCATGTGCTCGGACTGTTCGAGGGACTACGCCAGAAAGTGGAGAGAATGGAGACCTGCATCAGGAAATTACAGACAGTATATACAGCCTTTTGCAAACAAGGCCTTGTCTAAAGCGTCCCCAAAGAACTACTCTTTTCTTGGATGGCACACACGAACACCTACAGTGAGAGCTTCATGCCCAACATGTGTGCATCCGCTCAGCGAACACTCCGCTCAGCGCTCAGCGTCCTCAGTGTTGCGGAAAAGGCTCGCCATCTCAGACAGGGAGAGCTCCTGATGGAAGATGAGAAGCCAAACACATGGAAGACGGGAGTCGCATCATGAATCCACATCAATCCACATCCCAATATGTCTGAGGATGTCTGAGACATTTCCAGTGAAACAGGCAGTGAAGGACTCTGTATACATGGGACCAACACCACCTGAGTCGATGGATTGAATCGATTCGATCGATCGGCTCCAATGGGCGGACAGGCCAAAAGGGTGTGGCTCCAAAGGATTTCGACGTTGGTCAAGGCCCCCTAGCTTTGGAGGTAGCTTTGGTGTCCTTGCAGGTCGAATGTCGAGTCGCTGCACGGTGTACTGGAAGTACTTAGAAGATCCCAGTAAACAACATTAAACAACTACAGGTCAGTCTGTGTCCTTCTGTTCGGACACTCGCGAAGTCCACAAGTCTCGAAGCCTTCTACTCTGGGATTTGCTGAAGGAACCTGGAGTAGAAGAATCACCAGAAAAATCACCAGAGTAATTAAAAGGAACCAGGGTAGAACCTTCTATATACTCTTAAGGAACCTGGAAAAAAAGGGCAAACAATAACCTTAAGCAAGTCTGTCCTTCCACCTCTCAGCACTTCGTGCGCAAAAGTCATCGAAGAGCTGTTGGTCTCTGACGTCCAACCTGGACGCAATCGAGTGCGTCGGCTGAAAACCACCCAGACTGCATATAGTATCTCCCGCCAGCACAAGTCTTTTGGTACAGGCCTGTAAGTGCTCATGTTTCGTAAGAAACCCAAACCATTGCAGATGACAGTATACTAGAGAATATCATTCTCCCACTTTACCGACCACACTCCATGTAAATCCGTTCAGCAGCAGCTCTGCCTTTGCAGCAGCAGCGGCACCCCTGGCAACTCCGGGACACTCAGCGTTTCCGGGGCGCGCAAGCGCCGTGCCAGCTGAATCAGCGAGCGCTTCGTCTCAGGCGGCATTAGTTTCAAGAATTGATTTCGTTTTGTTGAGAGTGAGGAATAATAAGATATAATTAGGAAAAGGTGCTGAAGGCCAACTTCCAACAGCGCGATTGCGCCGCGATCCAAACGAAAAACGCACTGGCACTTATTACATTCTTTCTTGGCCACTGCCACATGAATGAATCCACATGAAGGTGAAATCATACAATTAAGTGGTTCTTTAGGTCTGTTCAATCACATCACATCTTTGCTTTTTGGTCTTGAGGTGGGAAAGATTTATGGTGACTGGAATGATTGAAGTGAAAAATCGCTCCTTCTGAAGACTTTTCTGCTTCTTTTTCTTGTGGGAAAGGTTTGGTGCAGCTCCGAGCTCACAATGTTTGCTTTGCTCACAAATCAACGAATCACTATTCACATCTCTTCACCACTCCAGGGAGTAATCTGCACCGCAGTCATCTCGGACACCGCTGTCATCTTGGCTTTGAGCTGTTGGCTCCCGGTTCGATCACTTTATGTCGCGGACCGATCACTTCGTCGCTTCATCGTCCGACCGAACATGCATGGACCTGACGCCTTGAAAAACCAGTTGGACACCCATACTTGGTAGGCAACCAAGTTAGTCACAATTCTACTTGATCAATAGAAACACATGTGTCATCCATGTAATTCGTGTGTCGCGAGCCTTCCTCCCAACATAGACTAGTCTATAGATCAATCCCATATTTTCGCTGGTCGTGAACACCACTCATCGGTTAAGACGGTCTTTTCTGAGTGAACACCAACCGCATCCAACCGCACTCCCTCGTACACCGCAGACCCACCTCTTTTCACCTGTCGCGTGGCGTTGCCTCTGCTTCGCACCCGCAGGCTCCCACCAGAGCGGACCACGTTCCGACCCTCTTCGTTCGTGTGGACCCGTGACGGGTGAGCCTTCCAGGTCTTTGGAAAGTCTGCCTGTTCATACTAGTTGGCAACTAGTAAGACTTTACTTGCCAAAGACCCTTTGGTAGGACGGAAAGTCTGCCTAGTCCCTAGTGAGTTCACAATACTAAGTCATACTATGTCTTATGTCATTGTTCTCAGGGGGCCAGAGTGAACCCAAGTTGTAGGCCTTCTCAATGGCACCTCTCCTGCTCCAGTGACTGCATTCCTGACTTTGATTCAGTTGTCTTCCCAAATTATATTCCAAAGCTGGAAAACCATGCAGTCCTATTTCTCTATACACACATTCAATATCAAGCTGCAAAAAAGTTGACAACATGCTCCAACATCAGCATCCCTCTTCTTTTTATTTATATAAAGCTTTTAGATGAAGACAACAAACTAATCTCCAATCATGTTTCTCAAGGTCCAAGAACTCCTGCGGATGAGCACGCGATGTGCGACGGTTGGCAGATTCAGTTGGCCGTCATCTCCAGAAGGAATGATAATGATGATTTGGGAGATTCCCAAGTCACTAGAAAACAACGCACAAAAATTGTCCGACACGTGCTACACCCTAGGACTCCAACCACATCCTCAGAAGGTGGTCAAACCCCTTAATCACCCCAACCACCCTCTCAGGAGATAGTTGGAACCCTAGAGTCCCTAGAGACAGATCTGGTATGATTTTGTTCTTCCGCTTCAAGAAGGCTTTCCTCGGAGATTCCGGACGGTCGGCATTTCCAGGCCAGCTGCCCCATCAGGGCAGACCTGCACCATCAAACCGACCGGCTCTGTGTCATTAACTGCTGCTGATCTCCGATGCGGCGGGAAAGCTTGGCAATCTCATGGACCAACCTCGGTGAAGGCAGATGTATGGACGCACGCGACTGCCTTTCAGGGTCGATGTGACTCCTGAGTCTTGCTTGTTTTGTGTTAAGTTTGGGTCATCGTAAAAAAAAGGTGTTCCACGATCTTGTGGAAGATGTGAAGCATCACAGTTATATTCCTTTGGGGTCCACTTGCTTGAGGTTCAGCTCCTCACTGCACCAGTTGAAGGTGATCTTTGATGATCTTTGTCGTATTGAATCCGTGGAAGGGCGCCGGTCAAGGTTTGCCAAAATGCCAGTCTGGCCCCTTGCAGAGCCCCAAGACACTATAGTTTCGTGCATTAAAAGCTCAGGTGTCTTGGGTTGAGCTCTGACCCACAGAGTCCTAGTGTCATCGAAAACCATCACCATGCAAAATGGAGATTGATCTAGGTGCTTGCCTACCGCTTGGTCCCAGGTCAGTCGGTCAGTCCCTTTTTTGTTCCGCCGGCTGTCTGAGCTCTCAACTGTTCTTCAGAACCACCTGACACCCGTGCCGGCCCGATGGGAAAACGCTGGTTGCGATTCAATCAAAGAACTGTTTTTCCCCGAGAAGGAATCCCACACCACATGCATGTCGGATGTTCTTTCTTTCATTGCTTCAAGCTGATACACGAAATTGATTGACCAATGAATGCAACATATTGCAACATATATTATTGACTTCTGTCAACCTTTTCAAAACTCATCAGGGGTGCTCGAGGCATGGAAGAGATGCTTCCACTGTGCAGTGTGTATTTCAATTGCAAAGTTTTGAGAGTGGTGCATTCCCATGTCCATCCCCAATGAATCCGAATAAATTGATATTGGAATATTTTAAGTGTATATGATTGTCATAACTTTCAAGACCTGCAGAACCTGCAGGTCGCTGGAGAAGCTCCGACCGCTCCACTCCACTTCCTTCGCTCCAAGCAACTGCTGGGGGCCAGCGAAGCGGCGTACCTGGGCCATCGCAAGACCGGCGGTCGCGACCGGTGGACCGTGCTCTAAGACTCTGGCAAATGGTCGATGCGGCGAGAGAGGCTGGCAATCTCACAGACCAACCTCAAAGCCAAACGAAAGAATGGTGAGGAACATTGAAGGACAGCTTTGAACGACACAAGGCATGTGGTCTCCCAACAGCTGGACCATTTTGTCCAAGAGGGGCCCAAACCAACCTGGAGCTGCATGTCTGGGCATGTCTGGGCCAAGGTTTCCACATCTCACGCTTGGCTTCCAACTGTTCTTC